GTGGCGTTTTTCAATGTTTTGTAGAGATTAAATATGTTTCAGAATGCTATTAATTTACACAAAATGGTCATTTGCATCTTAAGAAAAGTTATCTTATATTTTATAATAGTAAAAAACCAAGAATTTGTAACGAATGAAAAAGAAATGAGAAAAGTATGGAAAGATGTATTCAACATATAAAACTAATTTAAAATTTCTACTATTTTATAATTGCGGAACGACAAACATGTTTAAATAAGTTCAATTTTGAAGGATCAATTTCGAGAAAGAAATTAAAGTTTTAACTATTTATTTTTTTTTTAATTAAAAAAGTGTATTTGAACGATAATTTTTAAAATTGCGTATCAATTCGCATTTTCAAATTTGTATTAGTTATCTAAATTCTGTCAAATTAGTTTATGCGTAAATTAATATGTTTCAAAATTATGTAGTTTTGAAAACTAAGACTTACTTTTACTCAAGGCATTTTGTTATAACAGTTATGTGAACACACAAACTTTTTATTATTTAATTTATCTTAGGTGTACCCTTTTATTTTGCATGTGTAAAACACATTACATATAATTTTTGAGTGTAGTCACGAAAAATCTTTGGAGTTTCTGTAATAGTGCCATCATTCTGACTGATTTTCAATTAAATATTAGAGCAAATTAAATAATTAGAGCAGTGAGATTTTAGCTGTCATTTCTTTCAAAATTCTATTATATTTGAAATCCTCCCTCCTATGGAACTGCCAGACAATAAAATAATTACCAAAGCAAAAGCCCAAAAATATCAATGCACACATTTTTTTAAAAAAATAGTTCGAATTCATTAAAAAGAATAATTAAAATGTGATTGAAAGCAAGTATCTTTTTTTCACAACCTAAATTCAGTCAAAATTCCCCATTTACTGCTAGAAAAAACTGAAATTTCGAACTATGGATTGAAATAATTAAATCAAGGCTTCATAATTTAGCTAAATAAAATTAGATTATCCGCTGGACGTGAAGTTGTAAAAAGAATGATAAGTGAATTAGCCGGCATTGTGTGTTTGCTTTGCCTGTCGCTCTTCATGTATTGCGAGGAAAATACGCTGCATTGCATCTGCTCCCTTCATTCAAGAAATCAATAAGAGAAAGAGTTTTCGTATTCGAGAGGAGATTAATTGCAATTCACAAAAATTTAAATTTCACAGGAATTTATAAATTCACATTGGCACAATCGGTATCATGACTGGGTCTATAAAGAAATTTATCTATATACAGTGAAATGCACTGTGTATAGATAAGGTTAAAACGAAATATCGGTTAACACGAAATAATACAAAAGGCCCCGACGAACTACTATGTATTTTAATGCATTTTTTTTCTCTTAACAGGATACAAAAATCGCTTATTACGAAAAGATTTTGCTTTTAAAGGTGAACATTTAATGAAATGTTTGAAAATATTTCTGTATTATTGGACTGTCCTACTGTATCATCGGAAGAATTCGTTCTAGTAAATGATGATAATGTGTATGCAGCCCCAATTGTGGCGGACAAAGACATTTTAGAGTTTGTTCAAAGCTCAAAAAATAGCACTGATGCAGATTTCAAAGACGAAAATGAAATGAAAAAAGTAGCAACTGTGTGTGTTCCAAAGTCTTCTGAAAAGAAGAACAACATGAAAAGTATTTAATTATTTAGACGCATATTCCAATGTCGAAATGAATAATATGGACAGCATCGAACAATTTTTTAACAATTTGATGCTAAAAAAGACAATGCAAAGAAACATCTACGGTTATTTTCTAAGTACTCAATACATGTTTTGTTTTTCAAAAAACTTGAAAATTTTATTAAATTTCATTGTTAATATTTTGTTTCATTAATTCTTTTTAAATACATGCACATAGAAACATATCTATGTGAATAAAATATACTCCAACGAACTTAATTTTGTTGAATATACACTGCTGGCCACTGTAAACGCAACACCAAGAAAGACAAATTTATTTTGTAGATAACCTATTGACCAAGTATCAAATGATTAAATTTATAGACTTCTGTAAAGTGTGGTTCCTGCCAGAATCAGTAGCCAGAGTAGCCGCCATTGTCGGAGATCACCGCTACCACACGCCGCGGCATTGATTCAAAGAGACTTTGGATGTGTTCTTGGGGTACAGCAGATCAAGCAGCTTCCCCACGTTGCCAAAGTTGATCTGGTGTGGCAGCTGGGGATGTAATCTGGGTCAATCATTGAGCAACCATGGACCCCATGTTTTCTATCAGCGAAAGATCCGGAGAGCGAGCCGGACAGGGAAGCAATTCAATCTGGTGATTGACGAAGAACCTTTGGACAATGCGTCCCACGTGTGGTTGCGCATTATCCTGTTGAAATATGTCTGTGACCAAGCCCTGAAGGTAAGGAAGGATAACTGGCTCCAACACCTCGGAGATGTAGCGCTGGCTGTTTAAAGTACCGGCAATGCGTACTAGAGGAGTGCAAGAGTGATCTCCAATACCGCCATACCATAATACCCGGTGCAGGACCAGTGTGGCGGTGCATAACGCAGCTGTTCAGCATCCTTTCTCCACGGTGTCTCCAGACTCGAATCCGACCATCGTGGTGTTGCAGACAGAGGCGTGACTCATCAGTAAAGACAACTTCCTTCCATTCTGCCGCCCACATCCTTCTTTCATCGCACCATTGACGGCGGAGACGTCTGTGGTTCTGCATCAAGGGTAGACCAAGCAATGGACATCTTGCGGACAGACCACTCTGCTGTAAACGGCGTTGAATGGTACGCGCAGACACTGAATGATGCGTTACAGACTCAATGTGCTGTGCTATGGTTCGTGATGTGACTGAATGATCCGTCACTGCCATGCGCACAATTTCCCTGTCCTCACGTAAAGTGGTGCACTGAGGTGGATGCGATCGACCACGTCGGTCCATCGTACCCTCCTGCATCCAACGATCACATATCCGCATTACAGTTGTTTGGTTTCGTCCAACACGGCTACCGATTTCCCTGAAAGATAATCCACAATCTCGGTAGGCCACTCTATCCTTCCTCTGTCGAACTCGGATACTTGATCAAAAGCTGATCGCTGTTTTCTACGAGACATAACTGATGACTTTTTCGTGACCATTGTATTTTTTCGTTTTAACTGTTATTTTGTTTTAAGCGTTTTCGAGTTAAAAGTATTTTACTTTTTTTCATATACTAACTATAGATCACTTGACAAAAGTAGAGAGAAGAATTGGTTATTTTATCCAAATTCAAAAATAGCAGAAATTCTATTTATTTCGAAATTTTCTTAGTGATAAACGATAGGTGTGTGTGTGAATTAACTTTGAAAGAAGAGGAAAAACTAGTTCCTGTATTCAGACTTTTAAATTAGAATCACGAAATGAACAATAACATTATCAATTATACGCCCAAAGAAATTATCACAAAAAAATCAAGCTCAAATTTCGTATTAAATTTAATTTGTAACTTATCATTAATTAAATGCTTTGTTATCTCATAACGGAATTTCATTGTAAATAATCATCGCATGCAATTTTCGGCGAAATATATTTTACGTACATCAATCCATTTTGAACAAGTAAAGATCTTTTAAATTTTTTCTTATTGTTAGTGCGCCAAATTTTGATATACCGTATTTATACTCGAATCTAAATCACACTTTTTTTCCAATGTTAATGCTATTGAAAATCGGGTGCGGCTTAGAATCGAAAGCAAAACATTTGTTGGATGGGGGAAATTGAATATTTCCACCCCTTTCAAAAGTAAAAATGTAATCGTGCCTTCTGTCCACTAGCATTGATAACTTATCTCATTCCATGGTTTATCTCCAGTATTCTGTTCTAAATATCGTTGTCTGCTCGTATGAAGGAAATCTTTTTGTATACGATCTATTTTAATCACCTAAACGTCAAAGATATCGGTAATGGCATCAAGATGAGTTCACTATCACGCAAGTATGAAAAAGGAGGCAATTTTATATGCAGAAAAAAATGAAACAAAGCAGCGGTCGTTGACAATTTGACACAAATGAAACAAATATACGTCGATGGCGTAAACAAAATGTTGTAAATTTTTCTTGCAAATGTTTAACAGTCTTTAATAATTCTTTTTAAAAAATGTTACGAAACAAATGCATTGAATGACACAGAAGACGACATCGTGGGTTAAAATGGCGGCACCCATTCCGAAGTCAGTTGGGACAATGAAAGCGACGAATCGCTTTCCAAATAGGATACTGACGGTGAGAGTAATTATGGGTTCATGCATGTATTTGGAAGTTTTTAATACTAGTAAAATTAGTGAATTACTAAAAAGGGGTTGAATCGATGATAACATTTTTTTACAAAAACATTTGAGGACTTGGGGTGCGACTTAACTTAGAATCGATGGTGGCTTAGATTGGCGTAAATACGGTAAATCGTCAGAAAAAAACTAACAAAAAAGTTGAAAACAAAAATATTCTATTAAATTTTTATAATTTTTCTTTAATCCAGGCACTAATATATCTACAATCTAACCAAGCATCGATGTTTGCGGTAAGAAATAAAAAATGGCTACAATTACACGATTACTGTCATTTTAATTATTGCTTGAAACAATAAAAACAAAAAAATTAATCATGTTTTTACAATAAAACGAATAAAAATGGATTTTTCAAACCCAAATTTTATGCTTGTAAAGCATGTATAATATAAAGCTTGTATTATAAAAAAAATTAAGTCAGTTCCTATTTAAGTCAACAAAGAAAAATTTTATTTTAGTTACGTTTTATTCAATAGTTACAATTAATTTAAATATGTATTTACATATGGCAGAATCACAATATTAAGTGACAAAATAGAAAGTGATTTTCCGTGCAAAAGAGATTTTCCATTTTTCTTTCCATGTAGAGTTGTTAGATTTTTTTTTTTTTCCTGTTACTTTTTATTCATCAACTAAATTTAATTATTCAAATAAAACAACATAGAAAAAAAAAGAAATCACATTTTTAGAAATAAGGTTATCCCAGGAGGTACGCGAACCCACGACCTTTGGATTAGAAGTCCAACGCGCTATCCATTGCGCTACAGGGACACAACGAGTGATTTTCCTTTCGATATATGCTGTTGGGCTATTATTTTTGTTTGTTACTATTTATTCATTTTTAATTAATGAACTAATGTTTGAGAAAACTATTAACATCAAGTGTCATCCACTAAGAGTTTAAAAAAATGTATCTGAACTTGAATGTGTGTGTGCGTGTGTGTGGAGGAATAGAAAGTATTTTATCAACGATTGAAAATTTGATCAAGATATATATGCATAGGGAGAGAGTAAACTAATAGAAGGAATTGAGAGAGAACAAAGCAAAGCAAAAACAAAAATCAAAAACTTAATTACTTTAAGGAATTCGGATTTTTCATTTTTATTTATCAAACAAACCTTATTAACTTTAGTGTAGGTAAAAGTTTACATTTTCACTCTATGTAATTTTACCAACATTATTCATAGGTAAGAAAATGAAAGTATGAATTAGAAAAGCAATTAAATATCTGTCTTTCATCGTTTCGTTTCTTCTTACAAAAAACCAGTAAAATAAATAAATATATTCACCCGTTACTCTTATTTATTGAAAGGTAATAACAAACTATAATACGCATTTCTTGACCACTATTTTAAAATGTCATTGACTCATCAGTATGCAATATCTATAAACTATCCTCTGAAACAATTTCCTCTTTTTACCTAAATTTCAATTTTCCAAACGTGTCTAAAGGTAGAATGAAAAGTCACCCGCTTGCATGGTTGCAGAAAAATAGCCTAACAACCTTTTCAATAATTTTAGAATTCAGAATTATAAACTGTAAAAAAGCTATTGCTTTGTACGGATATCTGCAAATATATATTCTGCTGAAATATAATTTAGAGTTAAACGAGTAACAAGAAAAGCATTTTTTGTAGGGATTCCGATTTCATTTTATAACATATTGAGTATAACTGCTCAAAACTTTTCATTTTTAATTAATTTCCCATCGTTACTTTCGTTGGGCATAAATGTTGATTGCATTGGTTTTTCATTAAAAATACTGCTTGGCATCGGGATGTGATGTTGATGAGTAAAAGGAATCCGTTGTTTCTAAACGTGGAATTCCTCTAAATAAAAAAATAATTATAAAGAGACTTTCTCGTTCCTAGATCTATTCTCTCACACACAGGACTCATAAAATAATCTGAGTTAACGAAAAATCACAGGAATATATTAAGAGCCATCTTCAATCTTTTGCTATGTGCAACAATTGTACACGGCGGAATTTTTTGAGGTGAAAAAATTTAAGTCGACTTTTCATAAAATAAATAAGTACAAAAAATGGACTTTCTTTCGGAGCCAAACTTGAGATGTTTGGAGAACATCAAGTTCGCTAATAAATTATAAGATTTGATTTGTATAGCATTCATACGTCATCATTCTAATGGGCTTCATTACTTCCTACTTTTTGATTTATTAATATACGTAACTGAAAAAACTTTACGATACGAGCCGACTCAAAAAACTCGAATCATTGAACAAAAATATGTTATTCTTTTCATCTATAGACAAAAGTTTCGGAAAATTATTTTCATGCAAATGATTTCCCACACACAATATATTCATATATATCTCTATCCCTCTCTCTCTCTCTAAAAGCAGGCAAATTACGTTGTTTTGGGAGAAATAGCACAAAAAATTGTCACTGTGATGTTTGGAAAATTAATAGTAGCGTGAGAGTTAGGAAAATTAAATGATGAGTTTATTTACGCCACAGGCATTATAATTACGGTATTCACATTAACAATGAATTTATTCATAAGATTGATTGTTCATTCGTTCAGAATATGTTATTTGTGAGGGAGGAGGCCACACGATCGTTCTCTTTGATGTTTTCCAGCAGATTCTCCGCTCTTCTCCATGGCCTTGGGAGGGGGGCGGTTTCTTTCTGACACCTCAAATTTCACTCGGAGTTTCCGGCCATTGGTGTGCAAAGGCATCGATTTCGGGAAGATAACAGATGAATGACCCAGCAATATTTAGGGGTGCACGTGTGGATAAAACGCTGTTGTCCTATCCACAAAAAAAGAGTCGATTTTTCAGGTGTGTGACACGAAAACGTCAACTAATATCTACACTCGTGGTTGTGTAAATGTAGATTTACTAACCCTTTACCAATTACTATTGTTTTAGAAGCGCATTTTGGGTCAAAATTGAATCCTAATAATTATGTAGCTGTACTTTTTTTTTTTTTTTTTTTTTTTGCAACTCGTTTTACAACTGAGATGAGACGGACTTTCCCCTCGGGTCAATTATGAAGCTCTTTCAATCCTAACTTTGTTTGTGGAGGCTCAGGGTAAAGATGTTTGCAAACTGTGATAAGAAAGAAAGCGATAAGATATTTCGCTAAATAACCAAGTGCTTTAGATTCACATTGCGTGATTTCATTTTTTTTTATTAATGTCGTATTCTAAAGAAACGCGAGAGGATTATTCAATTGTCATTTTGAACCTCGATCAAGTGACAACAAAGCATGAGCTGGTGGCCCGTAGTCCAAACTTCCACATCGCACCAACGTGAGGGCTTTGATTCTCGATAGTTTTAACAGCCCCTTTAAACTGGTCTTAATTTGTTTCACAATTTGTAAATTGGCTTCAAAATGCGTTGTTTCTACTCTCGGAATGTCTCGTCCAGCCCTGTAGAGGGGCTGGTGCACGTTAAATCTGTTGAGGTTCAAAGTCCTCAGTAAGTGTTGTTTGGATGTTCGGAGAGAGGAATACCAGATCAGGTGTCGTCTTCGTCACTTGACGATGGTCCAAAATTGCGAGGTCCGTTTCAAAAAGCCCTCGTGTTCCTTTATATTACGTCGTTCCCAAACATTTTTTCAAGAAATCTCATGTTATGAAAAAATATTTATTTCCAACTGTTATTTTGGAACAAGACAATAATTAAGTCAAAAAGAAAAGATAGTTTTGTCACGGTTGTTCCCCTATTCGTTAGATTACGCCAGTGGTGTTCAAACTTTTTCAACTCTCATAACTTGAAGGTGTTTCCGGGGAACCCCATTCCACACACATACTTAGAAGAATATATCTCTCAAAACAATTGTCGAAGTCTATGTCTTTTGAAATGATTTGCAGTCGCATTTCATATTCTGCGTTTGATTTGTTTTTATACTTTGTTTTTGTAGTCACTCACGTTGAGAAATGTATTTCACATAGTATAAACACAATGTTCTGAATGGCATTAAATTGTTTATAGCTGTGTGAGAAATACTGTGTATTTTTCATGAATTTGCAACACAAAAGAATATTCACATTCTAGTACGAAGCATATGTGAAGATAAAACATTTTAATATTCTTTTATTCTTATAACAAAAGTTTAAAAAGTGTTGAAAAATAAAATTTATTATTTTTAAGTTAAATTTTCAGTTTTAATGAATAAGATGAGTTTTAGATTCATGTAATTATACAAACTTCATAGAAATAATAATTTTGCATACATATAAGTTTCTTTTGATTTTTTTATTGTGGCTCGTGGAAATCCTGAGTATGCTTTGAGGAACCCCAGGGTTCCGTGGAACACAGTTTGTAGACCAATGGTTTACACGAATGATCAAAGATTTTACCATTTAATTATGTGTTAATACTTTTCTGTGAAATAAGTTATACGAATTATATATATATATATAATGATATCAAACCACGATCCTTGTTATGATCCTCTTGCGGATAATATCCTTTTATGATATCATCCACAAGGAATCAAGAACCATCAAATCAAAGTCTGAAGAACTTAATGTTTAACGTTTAATTAACTTAAACAAACAGTTAAATTCCTAAACATATTAATTCAACATTCAGTCTTGCTAACATCTTTAAAAACAGTCACAATAATAATACCTAAATCTCTTAATTAGGCAAATCACATGTAAAGAAGAACTGATGCCATAAGAGAAAAGAGCTTTATACAAAGCTTTAAGTAAATTCGATGCGGCACGTTCGATAGCGGAATGATTTAATAACATCGCGATCTGCCTATACTTCGCCTAGCGGAAATTCCAGATGACGTGGAAAATTGAGGTAAAAGAAGGTTGAAGGTTTATTTCCAACAATAAGAATATTATTTTTTTTTTAATTGCAGTTTACGGTGGTACCGAATTTGGTGCAGTTTTTAAGCTCAGTGAAATACTTAGAATGAACCTCGATGCAGAATTAATCATTGCAATTAATTTAAAATACATGTTTCATAAAACAATCTTTTAGACTTTTATCTGTGTACAACAAAAATCAAATCTTTTGTTTCAGATTTTAATCAATATCTATAAATTCAACCGTTGCTATGTGAGTCAATGCAGAGCTCGATGATTAATAGTATTTAAAAAGCATTACTTGTTCAACTGGATGAATATAAAGCGCGAAAATATTGAATGTTAAAAAATAATATTGCATTGAATCGTCAGATTTTTTTTTTATGTCGAGCTGTCGGACAAGCCCTACGACACTATAATTGCATACTTTTTTTCCCTATCGAACACGCACTGGGCGCATGGTCCGAGTCAACTTCCGGGTTGAGCTGTCAGAGAGCTGAATGAATCACTTTTGGAAGATTCAGGGGCAGCGGGTTCTGGTACACGAGAAAGCGACGAGCACACAGTGCTCCGCTAACAGTTAAAAGATATAACATTTAAAACTAATTTTTTTTTTCAAAAAAAAAATGAATAATTTTTTTTGTTTAAGGTATCCGACTATGTGTTCGGAACCGCAATTTTGCAAAAGCGTACAAACGCGAACATATGTTTAATATTTAATGCCACTTAAGTTAGAATACACGTAAAAAAAATTTTTATAACTATTTTTACAGTAAAAAAAAAGTGTTTAAATACAACATTTTGGCATAAAATGAACAAAGAATGACCTATTTTCAAAACATTCTCCTTTTATGGAAAATACTTCCATAATGATAATATTTTGCCTATATATAGCGAAGACCTCTGTACAGAGCCTGTGTGAAGTAGGATTTTTGAACAATATAAATTATTGTAGTGGGGATTTATCAATATTTTAG